TGAATGCTCCAGAGGCACTGTACTGTAGTTACCGGATAGTCCTAGAGGTATTTTATTTATTTACTTGTTTATTTATTTATTTATTGCTACCAGGGATCAAACTCACGACCTAACACCTTCCAGGCAGGTGCTTACATCACTGAGCTAAATCCCCAGCCTTCCTAGAGGTATTTTAAAATGTAACTTTTAAAGTGGAAACACTTCTGTTAATTTATTACTCATATTTTCTAGGATTTAAAAACTTAGTTTAGGAAGGCTTTTAATAACTCATTATGAAAAAATTCTATATTTTACTTAATTATTTAATATAGATTCATCTTATTTTTCTCTTTTTGTTGCTGCTAACAATTGAACTCAGGCTTTGCATTGAGATACAGTCCCAGCCCTCTTTAACCATCTTTTATTTTGAGATAGAGTCTCCTTAGAGGCTCACTGAGTCTCTCAGTTACATAGGCATTGCTTAGACTGTGAAGCCTCCTCTCTCAGCCTTTCAAAGTGTCAGGATTTCATTCCTGTGTTTAGTACTTCTTAAACGTGGAGTTTACTTTGTCTACTGCACAGTAGGGAGAAGTCTAGCGTAGCTCTCTAAATGAATAAGGCATTGTCTGTCACTAACTGTGTGGCCCTCACCTTTTCCCTACTAAATGAAAATAGTGCCAGTTGGTAGGCATCGGTACTTGCATACACAGGCTGGTTTCTGTGGCCCACTCCTCTCTACTGCACCCCACTCCATCATTCCACCCCATCCATTCCGTCCATTCACCTGTTTCTTTGTATCAGTGCCGTGTTAACAATGCCTTTATCACCTGAACTTCATATCATAATTTTCAATCTTCTAAATCAACTTTTTATTCTTTTTAAAAATGGTTTTGCTATTAAAATTTGAATGTGAATAAAGTAATCTGTCAAATTTTACTTAAAAAATGAAGTGACATTTTGGTTAAGATTTCATAAACTGGAAAGTGAGAAGAGTGTCTCTGTGACTTAGGGCAGCTCGGCCGATCTCCCTGTCTGTTTCCTCGTCTCATGGAAATAAGGCGGCAGACAAAGTGCAGCATGGTGCTTGGGCGTTCAGCAGACATCTCCACAAAAGTGAGGAAATGAGCCTTTTAATTCCAGGAAAACAACTGATGCTATCAGCTACCTTGTGGAAAGTCGGGCTTTTACGTAAAAACTAGAGTTTAAGAAAGCTCCTACCCACCACTAAGAGCTTCTCAGCAATAAAAGACCTTTCTGATGTGTCAAGAGCTGTTACTAATGAATGCTCTTAAGCTGGGGAGTGAAATGTGTCAGCATTTATAGGATCTGCATTCCTGCATGACTCAGTATTTTCCATAGGACATGGTTTGCACTGTATTGCAAAATCACGTAGGAGTAAAGGATTCATTCAAAGAGTGAGACAGACTGACAGATTGCAATGGCATGGTGTGAGCCATTCTCGGACACAGATCAGGTCCCGCAGGGTGACTCACCTCTAAGACACTGCAGCCTGTGAATTTTTGTTGTGCTACAAACCAGAGTATTTATACTTATCCTAAAGGCCACTTTTCCCCTTTGTCAAATATATCTATAAATCCAGACTTTCCTCCTTTACCCCAATCAAAACAATATGTACAGTGTAAGAACGCAGGAGCCAGCATGCGATTCCAATCCCTTATGTTAAATTAGGCATCACGGTGATTCAGAATTTAAAAAAATGCAAGTGGTGCTTTTCTCATTAATTTCTTTTTGGAAATTTTTTTATAAAACTGTTATTTATATTACTGCAAATTATATAATAACTGTAAAATCACTCCATGTGGTGAGTTTACTGCTACTAATTTTCTCATACTTTCTAATGTAATACATATCAACAAAAATAAATTATATAAATACAAACTCTTGTGTGTCCTCAATAGCTTTTGAGTATACGGAAATTCTAGATCAAACGTTTTGAGTATTGTTTCCCTAGACTGTTTTATAAAGAACTGTTTTTATAAACATTTTCTGTCTCTAAAGATAATATTGTACTTTACTGAAAGACTAATGGGAAAATTAATATCCCATGTGTAAAGGAAAATTTTAAAATTGAAGATGATTAACTCATATAACTATATGGTAGACCTCAGTTCATCCAGCTACTATTAATGATAGTGCTGGACTTTGTCAGAACCCTGTGCTTCCAGAAAACAGCAATACTTCATCTCCTGCAGCCTTTGTGTTCTAATTTGGGGACGGGGTGGTTATCAGGAATCAAACTCGGGACCTCATGCTTGCCGGGCAGACACCACGCCACTGAGCTGTATCCCTGACTCCTTGTTTTCTAATTTTTAGGTGACAAATAACAGCTGAGTATATTTATGGGACACAGTGTGATGGTTTCAAATATATGTTCTTTTTGTTCATCATTTTTTTGCAGTAAGAAAACTATGAATCTCTTTTGGAAACTTAAAAACACACACTACATTATTAACTCTGGCCACTATAACATCCAAACTGACTTATTCCTAACTGAACTGTGTATTGTCTACTCCAGTACTACAGAGTCATAAGATTAAGTAATAGTCGATAAGTAGGTATATTTAAAGAGGCTGAGGGTAGAAGTTTTATTAGTTAAAGACGAGAGGGGGAGAAAGAGATGTTCGCTGATGACACAGAGGCCGGCCTTGGAAGGCCAGGCAGGAGTCCACAGGAGCCCAGCCTGGTTGGAGGAAGACACCGTCCCAGGCCAGTGCTCTGCCAAGATTGCGCCCCTGGCATTGCTGTGGTCTTAAGGAGCCTCTGGATGTGTGCCCGCCTACAGGGCATGGAGGTGCAGGTTGTCAGAAAGTGATAATGAGTCCTGTCCCGAACACGAAGCCTTCACCTCCTCCGGAGTTTGTGGCTCTCTCTGCGTCCGGGTATTGCAAGAATGGAGTCTTGGTATCAGCAGTGTCTGTGGTGCTCTTGATTGAGGTCTTCCCTGACACATTTTTCACTCTTCCCTCGAGTCCAGGTGACTACTTTTCAGCTCTATTTCTAGGAGACTGGAGTGGCGTAGGCACCCAATGGAATGTGATTGACTCTTGGGAACAAAGGAAATTCTGCTACCTATGACCTTACAGATGGAGGATGCCATAACTGCAATAGCACAAGAGAAAAAGGTGGCATAGAAAGCCGAATGCTTTATGGTCTGACTTGCATGTGTCATCTAAAAACCAAACAAAGCCCCAAACTTCCATTTTCTGAAATCTCTCGCCCTCTGTTTTCTGAGACACAGCTAGGTACCTAGACCACCCCTCTGCAGGAGGTGTGAGCCAGCTTCTCATGGCCGGGACAAGAAGCTGGGGTGGCCAGGGCCACACTTGGGGCTGGGTCTATGGTGAGGCAGAAAGCGGACAGTGGACAGTTCACCGCTTGGAAGAGTCGCCATGAGGACAGGGAGGCAGCAGAGGCCCACTGCGTCCTTCAAGGGCACCTCTGTTACCCTACCTTCTGTGCACCAGGTCCCACCTCCCCAGGGTCTGCCACCTCCCAGCAGTGCCACTGGCTGGGGGTCAAATCTTCAGCACGTGAAACTTTGGGGGACACTGAAGACCCAACCCTGACTGCCTCAGGCGAGTCACTGCCCTCTTCTCCTGTCCCCACAAGGCCTGCCAGTGACTCTCTTGTTACCCAGCACCATCCTCAGCACATGCTCTCCGGAGCCCCCTTCTTTGCTTCTTAAGTGTTACCAGGCCAGTCCTGCCCCCGCTCTTCTGAGGCCGGCTAGACACAGACAAGCACTCCTCCCTCTCTGTGCTGCCCGAGGCCTCCATGAGGCTGGCTTCATCCAGATTGTACAATCAGCACACCTGCAGCTAGAGCACGCCTCCCTATAAAGTTCTAGAGCAAAGCTGTCTTGTCAAGACATCCTGACCTCTGGGTCCAGGGTGCTCACTCTGCTGTAAACAGCCTGTGTAGAGCTGCATTCCTGCTCACTGGCTCGTTTTTGTTTCCATGTTTTCCTTGTTGTTGATTTGCCATTGGCATTAAGAGTAAGTTCATATTTTTGTTATCTTCCAGCTTTCAAAATATGTTGAAGCCTACAAAAATAAGAAACTCTACACTGATCTTTATTTTTTAGAAATACAAAACACTTAAAATGAAACATTTGCTGCAAATACTCTGAACCCATGAAAATGATTTTATACCTTCCAACAAAAACACAGTTTTTAACAGGATTCCACTCAAGAGAGGGATGAACCACTGATGATCTGTGTGGCACTGCAGGGACAGGACTTCCTGTGCCAAGCACGGAGTGTCTTCATGTTGGTGTCAGGTGTGGGGCAGAGAGCGTTCCGGGCCCCAATGCCGCTCCCCTTCACACCTGGCATTGTGTGTGTGGATCTCGGAAGCAATGAGTCAGCGGTCTGTGGGGCAGGGTATGACATGAGCCATTCATTTAACCACACATCGACATCAGCAAAAGCTGCAGCAGGAATCAGCGATGGCCACTGCACAGAGGGAGCCGGGGGAGGCAAGTCCAGGGCAGCAGATTGCAACACGGGGCTCTGAGTGTCCTCCTGCGTTGTTTACCTAGGGCTCACTCCTCTTCCCTTGCAAGTGTTGGTCTTTTGAAATTCCTCGCGCTGACTTAGGACATTGGAGACTGCTGGTGCAGTGTGTTTTCTGATCTCACAGCATCTGTGGTACTGGACACTGCTGCTCCCAGATAACCCAGCCACGCCCTGGCCACAGGCAGTGAGGACCCTGCGGAGGAAGAACACGCTGCCCTACTGCTCAAAGCTAAGCTGCAGTTCCTGCCCCCACCAGCACGATGTGTTTCTAACAGAAATAAGAACAAGAGCAAAGTTCACTGGGCAAGGAGTCTTTGGCAAGGTCTCCCAGGCTAACTTCCAGTGAGGAAATGTTCCTGCCATGAAATGAAAACACAGGCTTTCAGAACAGGTGTGTTTCCTACACCTTGGAAATTCGATGCAGTCTCAAAAATTTATTTAGTTGCATCTGTATGGAAAACTCAGTATTCAGAAGAAAATTAGTCATATTGAATATATAATTTTTATTTTGAAGCTAGTGAAACACAACAGAACAAGACAGAACAAAGCCAATCAAGACAATGCAGTGAAGTTGGTACAGAACTTCAGAGCAGGTTACCAGGATAACAGTAATGGGTACCATAGTACACCTTGTTATCTTCACAATAGTTGGCCAGGTATAGTGAAATCAAACTAAAAACAGAACATTATAAAACCTATCAAAACAGAATACTGAATAGAGAAAAATAGTCAGAACAAAGCAAAACAGTGAAAACAACATTAGCCTTCAAGCAGAAGATAGAAGAAAAGCCCCCATATTTGCTATGTTGCATACGGTCATCTTTCCAAGAGAGGCTCAGACCTCGGCCCCCAGTTGCTAACAGAGGAGGCAGGGACAGGAAGTCAGCAGCTCAGAGGAGACACTGAGAGGTTCTCTTCCCGGCTTGCCCCCCGCTCGCCATGGCTGCTTCCCAGGACGGGGGCTCATTGCTTTCTTGCTGGGCCCATTAAGTTCTACCATGGCTGGATCTCAGGAGATGCTGCCTGATTCTCTTCCTGGCTTGCCCCCATATCGAATATTTTTAAAGTCACACCATTTATGCTATTAGCTGAGAAATATTTTTGACTGATTTTTATAATGTAATCCATTGTAAATTTGGCTATAAACAAATTGACATAAAATTGAAATAAATTGTCACTAGTCTTCCTACAGTGTAATATAATGAACTGTAATATTGACAAGAAATCTAATAATTTAAAACTCGAGATTGGTAATAACTGCAATTATATGCCATCATTTTGCTAAACAATTTAAATAATTTCTTTTGAGAATTATTCTCATGAAATGTCAAAGAGGCATTTGAATCTATTCAATTGTTCAAAATTATTTGATTTTTTTAAGTTATTATCAGTCTTAATCTGCTTAAGAACTGAAATGAAATCATGTTGCATTTAAATTTATAGGGTGTTTCTATTCCAAGCAAAATTGAATATAAAGAGTAAAGTTTAGGATTACTATTTCCTGCATACTTCGAGAAATGTAGAAAAACTATTAATATTTTTCAAATTTCAAGGTTTCTTAAATCTCAGAATCATGAGTGGGTATGTAGCCAGCCTGCCATTTGGAAGACACATGTACTCTGTGCTTTTTTTTAGTGAGTCAGGAAAAAAAGTTCAGAATAATGCCTTAGATATATCATGCTATGTAAAAATGCAATATGGAAATCTCCAAGTGACACGCTCTCCACTATTATTCTATGAGCACTTTTTCCTGGATAGAGGACCATTTCTTAAGTGCAAGTCTTCATGAGGGAAGATAAACCCCTGCGAACCCTGCACAGGCGGGCAGCTGGTGTGTTAGTGAGCATCCTTCCCACCACCGCACCCAGCGCCTGGGGTGAACACCTCCAAGAAGGAATGGCTGGCCCCGTTCACAGGCCTGGAGGATTGTGGGGGTCAGAGTAGTCGTATCTACCACACAAGAGGCCACTCACTCTGGGCAGGGAGGAAAGGGGAGAGAGGAAGAGGTATGGACGGGTCCCACATGTCCTGTACGGGCACAAGCCCAGCTCCCAGTGACCTTCCTACAGGCCTCTCCTCTTAAGAACCCCACTGCCACCAGACAGCGCTCAGGCTTTTGGGGACTTCTAGGACCACAGGGCTTTCCAAGACTTCCGGTGTGGATTCAAGCAGCCAGGGTGACAGTCCTGTGCTGTGTAGCTGATGGAGGCCACTGGCTGGTCCTGATCTCAGGGCTCTGAGCTGTCCTCAGTGGCTCAGCACAGCCGAGCAGGAGATGTTGACCCTGAATTCACCTCTGTCTTTCTGCAAGGCTGGCCTTACCCAAGAAAGTCTCAGGTGCACTGTGTCAGGCATCAGGAAGTTCCTGATGGGAGGGACCAGGTGTCTCTTCTACCCACAGCCCACAGCTGGTCCCTCCCAAGACCCTGCCACAGCCCAGGCCTTCAAGTCCCAGCACACTGACACTGTGAGCTAGCTCTGGGACTCTGGAGGGTCCTTGGAAGTGTCCCCTCCTTGGGCAAGATTCACGTGGACCATCCAGAAGGTGACAGAGACACTGAACAGAGGACCTAGGTCATCTCTTTGGGGGAGCTATGCTCCAGCTATAATTATTTAAGGAAAAAAATTTACCAGCATAAATATGTATCTTTGTTTACAAAAGCAAACAAAAATAAAACAAAATAAACAGAGCTAACCAGTAATTATGGTTAGAAAGTTTGAAATCCCAAAATGAAACCAAATTCACTGTGCTATTTGCCAGGCAAACTCTATGTCCCACGTGGAAATACAGCTAGTGCGTTAGCGATAGAAACCAAACAAAAGGCAGCTGACTCGGTGTCTCTTCCCTGTCTGTCTGCAGTAACCCTTCCGCACTCTGGAGCAGGACTGTGCGGCATGAAGAGTTAACACAAGCAGCTCTCTGTGCACGGCTAACTCCCAGCCCCAGATCACACGTGAAGGACAGTGACCACTTGTTAAAGGGTCGGAGCTGTGTGTCAGGGGGCATCCACTCTACGGAGAACAAGGCAGAGCCCTGGCACCCGGGACCCTGGGTCAGCCTCTTTGTAAAGTTCAAAAAGAGACACAACTTACTGAAGTGCTAAGTAACAGACTTATCCTCAAGGCGCCCAAGAGTGGATTTACTCTGCAGGAAATTAAACCGGAGCTACTGAGGGCTTGAGCTCAGCTTCATGTTTTCAAAAAAATTCAGTTTCTTGCAGCACAACGCGATGCCTGTCTGGACTGCACCACTTTTTCACTTGTGCTTGTAAGAACATTGATGCTCTTAAGGCATTGACACATTAGGATTAAAAAAGGTGTCTTGTGAACAAATCTTGTCTAGTTTGGTTTTTGACAATTTTTGATCTGGAAATAGAGCAAACAAAGGACTGACAACAGCAACAACAGTAACAAAATGCCAAGAACAGCAGGACCAAGATTAAGGTTCCCTGCCTGAGACAAAGAAGAGCCGGGAGGAAGCTGTGCCTGCCCTCGGTATGGCACACAGCCTGCTCTCCCCCGTGCCCGTCCGCCTGGAAACACGCGTTCTCCCACGGAGAGATGCGTGGCCGTGGGTTCCCACGTCCTTTGGGTGAGAGCCTGTCAGAAGGAGGAGAGGATCCACGGGGGAATCTTCTGTTTCGATCCATTCAAGCAGGATTGGAACACTGTGAAAGAAGTAAATAGCAAATAAATGACACATGGTTCTCCGTTTAACACCCACAGCTCCCCTGTGATTTTCTTTACTTTTTGTTTGCATTGGTCCATGTTCACAGTGCACAGTGATCGCACTCATCCTGGGGAGCGGGTCCACCGACTGCGTTGTAGTTCTTTTACGTCTCCACCCTTCCTCTCTCCACTGGCTGGCTTCGTCTCTGGGTCCCCTCCATTTTTCATCACCTATCCTTTATTCTCCTACTTAACTTGTTTACACTTTGGTTTTTAGTGAGAAATTCACTCACCCACCTGTGGTAGGAGCCCCTTTCCCTGCTTTCCGTTGTATTACTTGGTTTTTGGGTACCGAACTTGGAGGGTCCCAGAGCGGCCAGTGTAGGTGGCCGGAAGTGAAGAGAAGTCACTGGGAAGCTGAGGGCAGAACTAGACGGGCAGCTCAGGAGGGACCCAGCATGGACACGGGGCCCATGGCCAGGCCACGGCCCTCCTCTCCAGCCGCTCTCGAGGTGGCTTGCTTGGCAGTCTCTCGGATGCCCTCCCCTTCTTGCTGTCCATCTGCAGTTTCTGCGAAGCCGATTTCCCCCAGGCAAACCCTGCTGGGGAGCTCCCTGTGGGCCCAGTGCCCAGCAGGGCAGGGACAGAGGCTCTGGTGCTCTTTTCCACACTCTCATTGTACCTGGTTGTTGTTCTTTTTTTTTTTAAAGCATAATTTTATTTTTTATTAGTCCATGTTTGCAAGACACAATGATTGCATTCATCGTGGGGAGTCGGTACACGTGCATAATGCATCTTAAATCTGTTTCCATGGCTCCTTAAGGTAAGGTCTGCCCAGCTCTTCCCAGCCGTGAGAATCTGCAATCGACCGTTAGCTACCCGTGGGTTCCTGCAACTGGAAATGAGCAACAATAACGTCTGTTTACCAAATGTTGTGAGGATAAGGTGACAGCTGGCACGCACAACGTGACAGTGGTTTTCTGCATGAAGAGGCATGAAATTGAGTTTAATTAGAATTTGCTATAAACCCTGAAATCAAGGCTCAGGAGAGCAGCAAAATACAGGTGACAGAATTGGAACTTCAATTAGTCTGAGAATAGCTTTCATATTTCCTGTGTTCCACACTAATTAATTAGGACCCACATAGGCCTAGAATGCTCCAGGTATGTTTAAGGCAGAGGAGAAAAATAGAAAACTCTTGACACACGTGGAGAGAGAAAGCGTCCGTTCGGAAATGTCACGCAAAACAGCCTCCACGGCCACAGCTTCCTCAGGAATTTCAGAGAGCGTGGGACGGTGGGCGCCTGGAAATGGTCCATGGGCATATTCATAGGCGACCCTGGGTACCTGTGACAGCTGCTGTTCCAGTGTGCAAGCGCCTGCCGAGAAGGAGCTGTCCGAGCTGTCGCCCTGTTGTGCTGCCGGAGGAGCAGCCAGGACCTGGCCCTCCTGCTCCAAAGCCCGCCTTGCCGCTTCCCGGGACTCCCCGAGTCCCGGCCTCTGCCTCAGTTTCTCCATGGAGCTAGGCTGCCCCGCGGGACCTCTGCTCTCCAGGTGACTGCTTTTCAGGACTGAGGTCCTCCTGATCCTTGTCTGCCTGCCCTGCGCAGCAGCTGCTAGTCAATTGCTCTCAGGGTCTGAGTGTTAACACTTGCGTTTCCCGATTTCCTGCCTCTCCTTCACTTGTCCTTTTCTGTGTTTTTATATGATCTTTGGGTCATAAAATCATGTAGTTGTTGCAGATTTCTTGTAGTTTGTATCCACCAGCCTCCGGCGAAATGACACCGTTGGGACCTCTACTGCCTTTTTTCTTTAAATGTTCTTAAACTTGTGTTTAATATTCATGTTTGGCATATGTCTGTCTGACCTTTTCCTTTAAACATTTAAAGCTGTTTCACACAGATTTAGCTCATATTGAATATACGGTTTTAAAAGTTCTGCTGTCACAGAAGAAATGCTTTTTATGTTAATAAAGTGCTTTCTCCCATTTCTAAATTATTACGTGAGAAGCGTCCTTCTGGCACCTGCTCTTTCCTCAGCATTTCATCAGTATAATTTAGCTGTAAAACACCCTGCATATGTCGAGTTTCATGACTGAGGAGCATACAATTCTTTTGTCTTCTGTAATTTCATAAATGGAACAACCTACATATGTGTTTCTTTGAGAAATCAGAAATGTGGTTTTCTATTCCTATAAATCTGCCGTTCCTCAATTTTTACTTCATATATTTTGAAATTTTTGCCCAGTTCATTGTCCCAGCAAGTTGCTAGTGTACTTTTGAAGTGTCTGGGTGCTCCTCCAGCCCTGACAGCTGGGTGCTGGGCTTTGTGACCCCTAATTTCGTAGTGTCTGGGGATGAATTCTACACAACGGTGCACACTTTTCTCCAGGAGTTCATTTGTCTTTTCAACACCACAGATTCTCTTCCAGCAGGTTTTTAATATTAATTCTGCTCCATGATTCTCCCCTTATCTTTGGAAGCCCTGGTTGGGCACTGTTGGGTGTTGCCACCTTCCTTGGCTCTATCCTCAGGTCTTTCTGGAAGGCAGCTCTGAGTCTGACCCTCCTGGGCTGTGCACAGCATGCCCATCACTCACACTTCTGCTTCCTGGCATCCCTCTTGGAACCACTGACCCCACCAGACACCCTGCAGCCCCTGTCTCACCGGGTCTAGTTTATTCCTCCATAAGTCTGTCTGGAGGACAGCACTGGCTGGGAGGACACCTCAATTTGGTGCGTCAGGTGAGACACAAGAGACAAGGTAAAATAATGACAGAGCTGAAATTGCTTTACTCACAGAGGCTGGAGAGAAAAGATGCTCAGGCTGGTAGAGACTGGGCCCTCAGGTGCTCCTCGGGAAGGCAGGAGCTGGAGAGCCGTGGGCCCATGGGCCGTCACTGCTTTGGCTCTCCCCACAGGGCGGGGGAACTTCCTCATGTGACACAGGTGTTGGCCTCCAGTTTGGTCTTGGCCCGCAGCTGTGGGGCAGGGTGGGCTGGATTTGGTCTGTGGGATGAGAGACAGGGAGCCTTTCTGGGAAAGCTGCACCGCGAAGGGGAGGGGACCAGGCCAAAGGGGACAGGTGTGTGGGTGAATTCCAGAGCAGCAATGGTGTTGAATGGATCCAGCACGTAGCAATCTTATTGTCCGCCTGGTGTCCTGTGAGCTGACTTTTGTACCCGAATCTTCATCTCTGGGGTGATTTCTTCCATTTCTGTCCTAGTTTCCCATCGCTGGGTGATTTCCCCTTAGTCTCCTATCCATTTGTTTTCTCTTCAGTTGTAACTGGCCTGGTTTTTACTAATTCATTAAATGTTTTATTTCAATGTTGATAACTTAGTGCTAGAAATTTTACTTGTATTTTTAATACTGTTTAAAAATAATAGTGCTAATAGTATTCTTTCTAAACATGTAAACAAATTTTTGTAGTCCTTCCTTGATACTTTGATCATGTTAAATTTCTGTGATCAAATTCTGTTATTTGTTTCTTGACTGTGGCACATAGCTTGTTTTCATTGTGTTTTTAAATTCATCTTCAGTATGTCTGCGTCTTGCGTAGCTTCTTCATATGTTTAGTTTTTGTCTGCTGTGATAATGTTATCATGTCCTAACTAGTTTGATCATGAGAGAGAGGGAAGAGGGCGAGGAAGAGGGAGGGGGAGCGGAGGGAGAGGGAGAGAATGAATTACATTTTCATTGAACACCTCCCCCACAGCGTTTTCCAAATTGCAAGGGGGAAACGGACTTGTGTCTGCTCTTTCTTGTCCTTTAATCCACATACACTTCCAACCAGTGCCTCTCGCACTTTGGTGTGGACCCTTGCACACTTCTCTTGCCCACCCATGGCTCAGGTCTATAGGCTAAACAACTGTGCACTGGCCGCCAGGATCAGATTCAAAGTGGTCCAGATTATATCACATCCAACAAATATTCCTCACAGTCTTAAATATGGTGTGGGTCCATTCTCATATTTAATATAGATGAAGATTTTGTCTCCAGTTCTTTCTTTGCTTATTATTTAAAGTGCGTTTTATTCTGAGATGTATTTCCGACTCATGGAGCTAAGATACAGTAGCTTACTTATTCTAGAGGAAACAGGCATTTAAAGGGTTTCTCTGTTAATTATGTATGATTGTACTTCATTATCAATTTGGGTCAGTCGTTTGACATCCCTAAACATTAATATCCTCAGTCATAAGATAGAGACTGTAACATTCTTTGGATTGTTGTGTGGATTCAGTTGAGAAGCACAAACACTCCTAGCACGTTGCTTAGATGTCAGCCTGTGTTATTACTACTAGTAGATTTCAAAAACTGATTTTCGTCTCTGGGATGTATTTTTAATAGAAAACAGCTCTGTAGCTTTTGGAGAGGTGGGAGCAGCAGAATTTAGGTTATCTTAATCAGTTGTTCTTTATCACCTCTGGCAGGATTCAGAAATCACTGGAAAATCTTACCTAAGGAAAAAACCCTGTGAAACTAATATCCTGAATCTGAAATGAAAGATAATTGTCTCCCCAAGAATGTGACACAGGTCAGTGATCACAGCATTTCATTCGAGCTAAAAGAAGGTTAAAAAAAGAATCCTACAAATGAAGTAAGAAAATAAGAAGCTTTTCCTCCTTTACCTCCGTTGTGGCAAAGTTTTCAGAGCAAATGTATCACCAAGCAAGAGCATAACAGATGTATAAACTCCAACATGAGCGATACGCATGTCGTACTGACAGCTTACAAACCAAAGGGATAGCCCACCGTCCTGCTTACGTTGGTAAGAAAGGTTCCTTTCATGACGGTGTGGGCTTCCTTCCACCCTGGACCAGAGCAGCTGCACCGGGAAGAGCTGTGTCAGCTTCAGAAAGCAAGATGTCTCAGAGCGGGTGTCCTCCTTCCCACCAGCTCCCAGCGCATCTGAAGAAAAGAATGTAGATTTGCTGTTAGGAAGCAACAGTTGGCAATTGTGTAGGCTACCTTCCCTCTAAATTTCCCAATTTCAGTACTCCATGACTAGGAAGTTAGGTCATTTGTCTCAGAATCCTGAATTCCAAGCCTTCAGGACCACTGCAGTTTCGATATGGTTTTAAGTTATGTCCGCAGTGGATTTGTGTGTTTTAAGTGTGGGCCAGAGGGTGGTGTTAGGGAGTCTCAAGACCATGAGGAGATGGAGCCTGGCAGGAGACCTTGGCTCACTGATCCTTACATCCGAAAAAGATTTCACAACATGTGCATATGACATCCAGTGTCAATGTCTACATTGTCCATCTGTCTGTCTGTCTCTCTGCTGTTGAAATAGTCACAATTCATTAAGCGTTATGCCCTTACATGACCCTCTGGCAAAAAATTTTTCCTCTTTGAAGTTTTTACATTACACATTTCTATACAACTTCTGTGACTGCAATATCTAAACCATGAACTTAAAAATGTCTCCGGCAAAATCTAAAGCAAAGTAAAATTACAAATAAAGGGTTAGAAGCTCAGGCCATTGATAGAAATGCGGACAGGAACTCGACAGACTGAGTTTACACAGGAAACCTGTACTTGTAATTACTAAAAGGGCTTTACCTCTCCATCTGTCCCCCAAGCTACCTTTTAAGGAAATAAAATATATTTGGAATATCTTGAGAAATACTTCTAATTCAAGAAGAAATCAGGCATCATGTGTTTTCCATAAAAAACAATAATTTAAGCTCTATCCAGGAGGACAAAAATATTTGTAAAAGACAAATATAATTTTAATTCCTAAAATCAAAGGATTACATAGAAGAAACATTTTTTTTTTTCTCAAAAAAGCTATTTAAAAACTGATGATTTTTTTTCCCCTGCAAATTTCTCAGTTTCCAAAAGTCATTTAGTGGTTGTTCACAAATGAAAAACACACACTGCTCTCTGGGTTTGAGGCCAGACAAATTTGTTTGCAAA